ACAACGTCCACCCACTCACCAAAGCGCCAGAAGCGGAAGTGGAAAATCCCAGCATACGAGTCAGGCTTTTCTGTGTCCCACTCCTGCTCCTTCCAGTCCGGGATGACCTGGAGCAAAACGTGGTGGAAGACACGGTGTGAGCGGAGGTTTCAGTAAGATCACGTCCCGTCATATCTGCTGATGCATTTAGTGTTTGTGAACTAATTTATACACTTACCTAAATTATCACACCACATCAGTTTTGTAAATTGTGCTTATTGTCATGTTCCGTGTTTCTGTGTGTTTATTTTTGAGTTTCTGTGTAGTCCTGTTCCCTGTGAGTCTGTCTCTGCGTCTTCCCCGTTGATTGTTTCCCAGGTGTGTCTCATTCCCTTAATTACCCCGTGTGTATTTAAACCCACCTGTTGTCTGTGTTCCTCGTTGGGTCCTTGTCAATTGCTGTCTTGTGTTGCTGTCTGTTAGGTCGAAGCTCTCCAGTGGAACTGCTAAGTCCTGGTTAGCCTAGCTCGCAATTTCAGTCTTTGTCAGTGCTACCGGTATTAGCTGTTTGCTTCTCTGCCGTGCTGCCTGTTTTCCGGACTGTGAGCTCATCATTAAACTCCTCATCACTATAACCTGGGCCTCGGCGTCTCTCCTCACCACCTACCACACCATTTCCTGACACTTATTTTATTTTTTTTTCTTTTTCTTTTTTTTTTTTTACAATAGGCAGAAAAATGTTAACAGAGTCAACTAGAGTCGTATTTTGACATGACAGGAATAAAATGCCGTTATATATAAATATTTATATCTATATCTGTTCCAATATTGACTGAATAAATTAAAGTTGTGTTGCTTCTACATGCTGGAAGCATGTTTGACCAACAAACAGCCTGGTGCATTGAAATGTGCTGTACTGGTTCAGAGTTCTGAAATAAATTTGTAATTCACTGTATTTATGTCAGTTTACAAAAAAAAAAAAATCCGTTAAGTCAATTAAGCACTGTTTTTCTTTATTTGATCACTATCAGTAAGTGAACATATGAGCTGTGCAGAAAGACAATGACATCAAAAAATGGCTCAAAAAAGGCAGGGGAACTTTTCAAAAGGGTCAGACTGGTTTTAATTTTTTTCCTCACCATTGAAAACTGTTTATTCTATATAATCAGGTTATCTTTCTCTGATGTTTAAAAAAAAACAGAAAAGAAATCTTTAAGGGAGCAAATACGTTTTTCCCAGTTCTGTACAGACAGTGGTGGAACCTCCAACACTATGAACAGTGAGCGACAGCAACATGTGAGCGAAGTGACAGGCCTCCAGCGGGTGTCCCTGGAGATGTCAAGATGAGCTAACTGAACAGCAGCTCCTGTCAAACCTCTCTGCAGGAGGCAACTCTGTGCCGATGGAGAGAATCCGGCCCTCCGCTGCTCCAGAGCAGGAGGAGAGAGACGCATCACAGTCATGTGATGGCCCTTTGGGTGGTTATCTTTCATGTTTCTATTGCTCACTTTATCTATCTAAGCTTTCATCTGTAGTGATGAAGCAACATAACTCTGGGAGTGAGGTAATTCACCTTAAAGGTGACCTACTACTCTTCCTTGAATATGTTAAAATAGATCTGTAGGCTATACAAAATATGTTCATTACATATTTTGCACAAAATCA